TGAGCCTACACCCTTGGGGAGATTGGTATCCGAAGATCATTGTTGACCTCAAACGGACCCTTGGCCTAGCTTACGTACTCAGCAGAAGACTTAAACACAATAAATAACTTAAAAGTAATAATTAGCCAAAATGGCAACCCAATCTTAGTCGATTACAAGTGAAAGGAAAAAACTAAATAAAACTAATACTATCTATCTATGAAACCTCTAAAATATAGAGGGATATTGGGACAAGATCCCCAATCATCCTAATAACAGAAAACTAAAACAAATAACTGAACGATAAAGATGTCCTTCGGAATGAAGGGAGACTCACCAACTATCTCTGAGCTTCTCACTGGATCAACGGTGCGCCGAATGCCGATCCTAGTTACCTGAGTTTGCATCATGATATGATGCAGGCCAAATGGCATCAGTACATTGAATGTACGAGTATGCGAGTTGGAATGCTAAACAACTTAAGCTTGAAAAAGAGTAAGAAGGAACACTTACCTTGGCTCTGTTCAACTCATGAATAACAAACTCATTTCAATATACTGCAATTTAAAAGCAAGTGCAATAAAAAGAAAAGTTTTTTAATAAACATGTTGTAAACTCTGAATATATACAAGGATACAATTAAATTTGAGATGTATGTAAAAATACAAATAAACTAATGTATATAAACAAATGCATTTAACTTCTCTTGGAGTTTCTCTAATCGACAAATATCACTTAATAGCTATAGTGATAATATAATAATCTACCTCACGCTGCCAGCACATCCTATACCTGGCCAAAAGTACAAGACTTGAACTGCCTAATGGATCCACTAGTCTACTGTGAAAAGGATTCACCTAAAAAGTATGACTCTTTTCAATCCATGGTGACTACATGGTTTTATGGAGATGTGAGTTATGTGAACTCATGCTCGTCCCCAATTCAGGGCTCAATACTACTCCCCAAATATAATGACTCTTATGTTTTTAAGACACACTTCTTCTGTGATTTGAGATTAATGCTCCTTTTCTCCTTCGTTCTTCATCTCTGAACCCTCTAAACTTCCGTGGTTCTTTTCCCAAATACTTAGAGTCATTAGTATCCTCAATACCGAGTAGAATTGACTCGAAACAACCCGTAAACATGAATCAAATCAACACTCAACCAACAAGAATTCAACAATGTTCTTCAAGAATTCACTTTTTATCATTCAACCTACTCAAAACCGCTGAATTTAAACAAGCTGGTGTATGGGTGAACTAACCCAACACGAAAAGATCTCACATACCTTGATATGGATCACCTCCGACGAAATCCACTCGCAAACCTTGGCGTTCTTGGCGAATTCTAGGCTTTTCTCACTTTCCTTTTTCTTTTCTCTCTTCTCCAAGCCCTAAGCGTGATTTATGATTTTCTAAAACTGAACTAAACTTAGTTTTTACCCCAATAAACCCCTTAAAATGAAATTGGAAATTAATTGGTGAAAAGACTAGTTTGCCCTTCCTTAAATCCGGATTGGGACTTTCCTTACTTCAATAGCCCAACTTTCGATAGGCATATCTCCCTCATACGATATCGAAAATGCGCAAACTTGGCGGTGTTCGAAAGATCTCACTACAAAAAACCCCCAAATTGCCAACAAATTTTACCAACAACTTAAGTTGGTTTGTATTATAATAACAAATTATCAATATATTTCTATCTAAATTAAATTTTAAAATTTAATAACAAAATTCTAACAGATTGCCAACCAAAATCTTACTAAGTATTTTATTTGGTAAATATGACTGGAAAAAATGGTGCCAAATTTAGCAACATTCTATCGATGGGTTACCAACTGAAATTTTACTGACGTACAACTTTTGTTGATAATATTACCAACGAAATATATATCGTTTGGCAAATATGACCAAAAAATTATATAATTTAATAACTTATTACCAAGGAATTACTAACCATACATTTACCAACGACTGAATTATGTTGCTAAATTTACCAACCAAATATAAATATATTGGTAAAATAGTAATGAAATGTAATTTGTTGGTAAACTTGACAATCAATATCCAATTAGTTGAAATATTTGCCGAAGAATAAAGATTGTAATTTGTAAATTACTAACATCATTAGAATAGTTGGTAATATAACAACCAATTATTAATTCATTGGTAAAATTTACCAACATACTAATTATTAGTTGGTAATATTACATATGAATGTTTAGTTGATAGTAACTATTACCAAATGTGATAAAAATATATTGGTAAATGATTAATTACTAACTTATATTTAAATATTTGATAATTTATCAATTGAAGTTATATTTTTTGGTAAATTAACATCTAGTGTTGAGGCTTTCATATTTAGTTTGTGTCGTTAAACGTTTTAACTTTTAACTTTTAGTTAAAACTTGCCTTTGGTCAACATTTTTTGTAAACGTGCTCAAATTAAAACTATGTCAGTGTTATCAGTTTCGAAAGGTAATTTTAAATCTAATAGGAAGGCTGATTTAAGTTTTGAGGCTTTCATTTTTTGTTTGTGCCGTTAGGTGTTTTAAATCTTATGCTTTGGTCAATATTTTTGTGAACATGCTCAGATGAGAATCTCGTCAGCATCATTAACTTCAAACGTCATTTTTTATCTAATACGATTGTTGGTTCGGATATTGAGGCTTTCATTATTAGTGTGTGCACTTAGGCGTTAAAATGATATGAATATATGTGGTGGTTTCCCAAATCATCACACAAAGTTTTAAAAAAATTGGGTGTTCCGAGGCGCCAAATCCATGGGGGCTATAAGACAAGAAAAAATCAAAAATTTTGGATAATTCCTAAAAAAGGCATGTAAATACGAAAAATAGGCGTTAAAAAATTGTGTGAGTATACATGGTGATTCCCTAACTCATTAGACTGTTCTTTGAGAAAAAAATATTTGTGCTCCGGGGCACCAGGTAACATTTATGAAAAATCAAGAAATTTGGATAATTAGATATGTTCAGCTGCCGTGCCCATTTTCTCGGTTTCCTTTATGGATCCTTGAGTCTTACATCACCTGCATCATACAATTCTGGGTGCAGTGCCCTACAATTGTGTTCATCAAGCCCTTGTAGACAAACCATATTATATTGAACCTTGGTTTAGTTTGATTCACATTTTTTCCAATAAATATAAATATATATAGTATGAATTAATCATCTTGTCTTCAGATATAGAAAAAATGTAGTATATATATACCCCTTAACACATAAAAAAAATGTTGGTGTATATATGTACCATGAATTATATATATATCGGTTAATTAGCCCATGAATAAATACATGTGTCACTCTAATTAATACTAACTAAGCTCCTAGTTAATCTTAGTTTTGAAATGGAAACCTGAAAATATGAGTTCTCTAAATTGTGATTTTTAGAATATGAAATTGCGTTTGGATATACGTTTTGCTTGAAAAAATTTAAGTTTTCTAAGTAGAGTCAAGTTCCAAAAAAAAAAACAACAAAACTATTTTCAAATCAATTTTTGAAAATCTAACAAATATATGAAGACAAATTTTTCAAAAACTACTCACAAAATATATGAAGAAACGTCAACATAGTTATGAAACAAATATAAAATGGACTCAACATACACGTATACCAAAGAAAGTACTAGTCACCTTAAACAAAGCTAAGTTGAGTGAACTCATCACTTTTGATGCCGCATCAATGTTGAATTCTCCAAAAAATACTTTACTTTCGAAAAATCCAACACGTACCGATTGATATTTTTGAAAAGTTCAAATAACAATAGCCCATTAAAAAAGTGATCATGCATCCACATATATTTTAACCACACAATGACAATGCATGCAAGAAAATTAGGTCCCAAAAGTCTTAATTAAAAATAAAAAGAGTTGAAAGCACATAAGTTTTTCAAGTAGCAGCATAAGTCACAAAGTTGAAAATTATTCAAGCAAAGTACTTCAAAATGATGAAATTGAAGCAAAGCATGTTTATTTCAAAGGAGCTCTGTGAGGAATTCCCTTCCTCTTGCGCTTCCTCTTCGTCTCAACAGGCTTTTCCCGCTTGGCTTCCACCTACAAATTCCATCATACCATGTGTTATTCGCAAAATCTTTATATAATACTTACATTATAGAGATATAATATTTCTGTTGTTTCAATATAAATGTCTTTTTAAAGTGTTTCCCCCCTATATTTAGGCTAAAAAACTCAAATCCAATACAAGAATAACCACTTCTCAATTATATTAATAAAGATTAAAGTTCAAATACAATTCCCAAAAATAAACATAACTGAAATGGTAAAACTCCAAACATGCAGAAATATTGAAAGTAAGACTAGGGATATATTGAAAGTAAGACTAGGGATTGGTTGTGGAAGAAGGGAGATGAGAAAATACAGATACTTCAAGGGAGATGAGGGAAACTAGACTTTTCACACAACAATTTAGCTTTATATGATACACTTTCATTTTTTGTCAATTCCAAAATTAATGATACATTGCGATATATCTACCAACAATTTAGCTTTAAAATAATCATTTCACTTTTAATGAGTGATTTTTAGTAACACAAATATCTATGATTTATTTTAACCATAAATTTTAAGTCTTCCTTTCTTAGAATCTATGTAAAGTTAGACAATATAACATAAATTGAGATGGCGGGAGTACGTTTTTTCGATTTCAACATTCTATTTAGGATTGTACAACAACAACATACCTAATAAAATCCCTCTCTGTTTCTTAAACTATGTGCCCGATCAAACATAATTTCCAAAATTCAATTTCAAAGACATATTTAAAAATAATATAAAAATCATCGCGAAACAACCACTTAGTTTGAAACGGAGAAAATGATATATACCTGACAAGCAATGCAACAAAAGCGGAATTGTTCAGGGTCATTCAATCTCCTTTTGCAAGTGTAGCAAGTAGGGTCTCCAACAATTAGAGAGCCAGATCCACTATGTGGCAGCGGATTCAAAGCAACTACCCATTTCTTGTTGCATTTGTATGGCTGCACATAGCAAATTATATATATCTCATCACTAACACATACACACTATAATAACATATTCAGTCAAATCCTAATTAGGTGAGGTATGAAAAGGGTAATAATTTACACATACTTTACTATTATCTCCTGGAGATAGAGAAATTATTTCCGAACTAATATACAAATACTAATTATGTGAAAACAACAAGAATTGCAAATTGTTGTATGAGCAAAATAATCAATCATTGTGCAACCGATAGAAAATAGTGTACACAGATCTACCCACTATAAAATTTATATATGGTTAAAGTTCAGATGCTTTTTATATGGAATCCAAATAAAAATAGCTAAACTTTAATGTATGTGCATTAGAGAATGAATTTAGGAAAACAAAACAAAATCAACCATATGTTTCTTAAGTTTTAACAAAAATAAAATAAAATTGAACTTCAGCCATTTTGTTCTTCAACTAAATGGGTAGAGTTGTAAATTTTTATCCACAAAATGACTTAATTAGTGGGTCAAAACATAGATGAGGCAAGGATGAGACTAGTAAAATGCTTGTTTTTAGGGTACAGACCCCAAAAACTTAATACTGATTTTATGAATTTATCGTTGCTTAGAACAAAATATTACAATAATAAGTACAAATTGTGTATATGTAAAAATCTCAATTGTTATATTAATAAATAATATTTTTTATAATAATATCCAAAATAATAATAGTATAAACAAATGACTACATTTTATGAACTGGTACTATATTAATTTAAATTTACCTGAATTCTAGTGCAGTCAATATATTTCTCCATCTCATCAAGAGGAACAACATCTTTGTAAACATGTCGATAAATCTGAAGTAGGTCATGCCCATTGTGTTTGTCTGTAGCAATGCAATTCTTGCATAAATCTGAATCACACGTGATACAATACTTGTTCAGCTCATTCTTTTGAAGTTCATCATGTACCAAACATGTCCCAAAGAATGTCTTCTTCAAAAATGGCCTTAGCCATGCTGGCATATCCCTGCTAGGAGTTTCCAATTTTCCCTACAAATATAGTCATTATATTAATAGATTATGATATTTCATTGATTTAATTGAATTACAAAAAGTTTGTCACTTTTCAAAACAGTAAACTCACCTGAAGTAATATTATCATTAAATATACATATTTTTACAAGTAAATAAAAAGCACTTATCAACCTAATTATCTATTCAAGAATGCTTTCTTATTATTTGAACAGTAAATTTTATATTATATCATCAAATATACATACATCAAAAAAAAGTTATGAAGAAAAGAAAATACTTATCAAACTAATTATCAATTAAGTGTACTCTCATCCAACAATTGTTTGATCAGGAACTTTAATGAACTTTAAAGATTTAAAGTAATTATATCAAGGCTCGTTTAGGAATGAATCAAATCCATTCAATTTCTAGCTAGTTGAAAGTTTAATTTTTAGGAGAAACTAATACTTCACTTCTTTGTAGTTGACTGTGTTCTAAGAACATCTACATACATTTTATATATAACAATAATCAGAAATGTATGTTATGATTTTCTTGACAATATTACATGATGAGAAACTTTTAGTGGAACACAAAAGAGAAACATTTCCACAAATTTTTGAGTTAATGAAAATATGCATCTCCATAATTAGAAATGAACAAAAAAACATGAAACGAATCATGTATATTTTTTTTGTCCACTTTCTCCCTGCTATGTTGTATAGATTGAGACTTAAGGGGTTGTTTGATATGCAAACTATATTATCTCGAGAATGTAAATTCTTGAACTAACTTATCTTGAGGCGGGATAAAATAATTTCAAATTTGATAGGAAGGTGAAATATTTAGGGTTCAGTGTGGAGATCTATATTGTCAACACAATACATAATAGAGTCTAGAGTATACATGTGAATCAAAAATTTATTTTACTTCATCTTTTTATATTGACTTGTCAAGAAAATGATACCTTATATGTTGATAGGAGGGTTTGAAGCAAAAAGATAGTCTCTAACATACTTGGAAGTTGGGTTGTAGCAAATAGGAAGTTTGTTTGACATGGTTAGGAGTGTTGTTGAAGTATAACTATCAATACATCGTCCAATAGAAACTCACATCAAGTCCATGAACCGAGTTGAAAGAAAGAACTCAACAAAGACATAGAATGAAAATATGGTTTTACATGATGATTTAGGGCAAAATATGCTCGCCTTCTAATGTGAAAAGAAGTAGAATGAACCTGAACTAGAATACAAAACCGTAAGAAGTTTGCATATTCTAGACTCCATTAGAGGAAAAAAAAATGTACACGACGCAAAATAGAATATAGTTAAAAACTACAAAATCAGTACATGTTTGATTTTACGATACAGACAAGCCACTAAAGCATAAGACGACTCCCCTCTCCCTTAAATATATATCTAACAAGAAAGAGTTATCAAGATTAAAATATTTAACTGTTAAATAAATCAAGTATAGCCTATAATTAGAAAACATAAAGTCTCTCGTAAAATCACGTCCGGAAAACTTTCTAATATGTTATCATTTTCTAGATGTCCACAAAGATAAATTGTATAAAACAAGATGATGTAATTAATTAAGTCCCAAAAAAATTATTTAATTAATTTTTATAATAATAAGACATAACACAGCTTTTACAAAGTAGATCCAAATTCAATTTCTTCAACAATCGTTACATTTTATACAAATCACTTATGAGGCTAACACACATAGTCAGTCTAGTGTTTTAAAAGGCGGGGCGTGAGGCGAGACATTTTATATAGTACGTGGCGAAGCGTAAGCCTCGATATACGAGGCGTAAGTCTCATAGATCTACCGGGCATAGTCTCATGTGTATTCAGTTCTATAGTTTTATAACTAATAAAATAAGCAGAAGTAAACTTTTCAATGATTTTACAAATGATTTTTTATAATAATCTATAATATATAGAAATTATATTCTGATTTTAGTTTGAGATAAGTATTAGTAATCAATAATGAAGAAAAAAAGTATAATAATTATTGTTTGAGAAATCGTTACATCATAATAAAAATATATGATTTTTG